CAGATATGTTAAATAACTGCCCAAAGAATATTACCCAATTTTTCAATGAAACAAATTCAAGATTTAAAAAAGCATATTCTTCTTAGTATTAAGTTCTGTGGATCCGATTTCATATTCGTGAACGATAATGTCAAACAAATAGTAAAAGGAAATTTTCTGTACGGATGACCAGAAAATTTGTGGGTCTATCTGACAGTTGCTCAACTTTTTTCAGCTAGTAACTTGGACACAAATTTGATAACGTACCAACGAGCCACTTCGCATCAAAGATGCTCTTACACGTATTCAAAAATATAAATATATATTTGAAACTTACTTTTTTAATGTTAAAAAAAATAAAAAGAATAAAATGTACTAAAACTCTACTGCAGTGATTCTCAACTAGTATGTTGGAGATATATTTTTAAATCTGAGTCTTGAGTGTTGGAGGGCGTATGTACGACAATGAAAAAATTGTAAATCCGCCTTCCAAAACTTTGTGAACTGAGTAATTTTAAGATAAAATTTATTGCCCACAACAGATTGACTTATAGGTCCTATACTGTATTTTGCATGTTTGATAATCAATTGTTTAATAAGACTATGATTAATTTTATACATTTCTTTCTTCGAAATTTAATCTTTATGCTGAAATATTATTTTATTCATTTATATGATATTTATACAACATTTTCAAAAATAAGCATAATCTTTCAATCCATAAATAGGAGTCCAGGTACAATCAAATCTAGTGCAGAGAATGGGATAGGTGGAAACAGATCAGTTTGCAGGTGATAGTATCACGGTATGCTTAATGGCCACACTGAGTGCCATGTTTTTTGCAAGAAGTGCCATTACTGTAAGAAGATAGAGACGAGGTTTTGAAGTATCTTATGGACATTTTCCGAGGTATTCTGGTTACAGATTTCATTTTTGTGGACGATAAGACCTGCGTGCACAGGACTGCATGCATCAGACTTTCTTGACAGTGAAGTTATTCGTCTCATGAAATGGCCAGCAAGATCTCTGGACCTAAATCCCAGAAAAATACGGGGATGCTCTTCAAAGACAAACTGCATTCCATCAGCATCTACCAAGAATACTCCAGGAGTGTCAATATATTCTTGTTCAAGAATATAGCTTTGTTGGGAGCAAAGTCCAAACATAATTAGCCTTCACTGCACAATTAGCGCATATACAGGAGGCATATTAATCATTTTTTGTGCAAAACAATTTATGACAATGTTTAGTACTTAAATTTTACTTGCTGATTTTGGTTTAATATAATTTAAATTTTGCTTTTCAATTATTTTGTTGCATAAATAATACAATGTTCTACATGATGTTGGGTTTCATGCTGTTATAATCAGTAATTCCTGACATATAAGCCAAATTAATGGTTATTCTTAGTTTTTGGATATGAGTAAAATATATTGTGTATATGATAATTGAATATATTATTAATATATATTATTGNAATTGAGGCATAATCTTGATTAAGGTCTATGAGTAGTAGTATGAGCAACGGCCTGAACAGGACTATAACAAGAAGTTACGAGTTAGTAAAATACTGGAACCAGTAAGAAAAATCAGACTTTCTCCAAGTGCGAAGTGTACTGAGTTTGTGATCACGTGTAAGGGAACACGTACAGTGTTGAAATCCAGCTACTAGATTAATAAGGATGGATAAATGAATGAAAGAACTTTTCTCCACGTGCAAAGAGCCTTCTCATAACATCAATTCCAAGACAGATACCATATACTCGTTTGCTTTTATTCTTTATTATAATAATTGGTACAGTATATTAAAAAAAAAAAGTTTAAAAAAAGCTTTATCATTTTTTGTATTACTCATTTAATTTTTGATCTGTTATTTACTTTGTACTGTCTCACACCTGTCATTTTAAGTATTATTTCCTTCTGATTTTTCTTTTCTAAAATAGTGGTATATAAGAAATGTCAGATTACTCCTATAACTTGATATAATTTATAACATACATTGAGGTTAATATTTTTTATAATGAAGGTTTTTAGCCATCAAACATTTAACAACAAATTTGTTATAAATTATATCAAGTGTGACCATTATAGGAGTAATCTGACATTTCTTATGTACCACTATACAAATAAAACTCAAAAATACAATAAACATGTACTTAAATTAATCATAAAAGTGTATTAATCCTGAAGATTATAAAATTTTTATTTTCAAAAGAACCATTGACTATGTTTAAATTTACACAGAAAATACTGAAAAAGTCTAGGAGTCAAAAAATAATAATGTTTTATATTCTTTTGTGGTAAACTAGCCTCTATTTAGGTGTCACCAACGTGAACACCTAAATAAGAAAACTCCACGTGGCCAACCCGTTGACGAGGCGCAAACTTATGATCCAGTCGGTGTTCAGTAGTGTTATCCACTCGGCCACTAATGGACTTCTCGTCTTAAGAGAATGTTTTCAAGAAACTTGAGATCAATAAAGGCCTATTTATACTATCCTTCCAGACACGGACAGTTTCAGTACAGATTTTCAGTCTGACCGTTTCGTGATGTTTGACCATTTATCTTTTGAATTTGTATGTAATAGCATTACTATTAGATAAAGATAGCTTACTTTCTCCACAAATCTTCCTTTCATAAGATATTAAAAGGAAGATTCACGGTGAATTTCTTTCCAGGCTGTTTCCTGTTTTCGTTGTCACTATTGTCTTGTCTTGGTCAAATAAAANAAACGATAAATAGTTTGTCAAATTTTTATTCATAAAAATGCAGTTTCAACTGCTTTTTATTTTATAAAATCCGTCTTCTTGCGCCACCAGAGGACCTTTTAAACAATAGGTAGTCTGTTAGTGTTAGTCAGTAGAGGTTCAAATTCAATACGAACGTTTGTTTCTTGAAAATTTGATCACGGTTTAAATACAGTATTTACTTTTAATATTACCGATATGTCATCGAAAAGAAAACGTGTTGTATTATCTTTAAAAGACAAATTAAAGTATTTGTTTCGATTATCCGGATTTTTCCTTATCCGGACTACCTTCATCCCCAATTAGTCCGGATAATCGAGGTTCTACTGTACATTGTTTTGAAAGCTACTTGTTTTTTTTAATAACTTGTGCTTTATGTTAAATTAAATAATCATTTTCAATTCAAACATCTGTTATTCTTTTAATCAGCATAAAATACATATTTGAATACAGAACATTGCAAACAGCAGTAGAGAGAATGGAATATAATATTTATATGAAACTCTCATATTTATTGAATGATATAAAGTTTAATGTGTGTATCAAATAATTAAACAACATTATTTCCTGTACTGTGAGCTAGAAAGTTCAAATTTGACTAAACAGTTTGAAGTATTTATATAATACATCATTTATAAAGTTTAGCTTTTTCTAGTTTAACTGCAACATTTTTGGAAAATTCATTTTTTGTTTCTAATTAGCAAATTATTCAGAAACTTAATTTGAAAATTTTAAAGATCAAAATATACTCAGAATTATTTTATCTAATATGCAAAAATGTGTTATGGAAAAATAATAATACTATAAAAAGTAAAATATGCTCATTTATTTTTTTAAAATCATATTATGAAAGTATCATAGATAAAGTTTTCTATAATACAGTAGTTACTGAATTACTTATTTTTAAAAGAATACTTATAATTTTGCAGTAACTTATCCAAATTTGAAATTGCACTGCTGGAGTGAATTATAATAGTAATTACACTTTTTAAAATGAAAACAAGAAAAAATAACTATTGTTTTCCTATAGATATTTTTAAACAGATATTTTCTGTTCAAAATACATGTAGGAATATTTATATATATCTGTTCTAAAGTACTTTAAATGATATACTGATGTGTGTTTAATGGAAGAAAATAAATTTGGGAGTACAAATAACAAGAATTACTAATAAAGATACATATGAAACATGCATATTTGGTATTGACTACTTAATTTGTAAATTAAAGAATTTTATTTTTTAATCCTTTACAGAGTAAAATTAAGGTCCACTGTCAAGAGCATTAACTGTGTTTAAAATGTTTAACCATTTTCAGATCATATGTTGTGTTTTCCCCTTAATGGAACATCGCTTTTTGTCCTCTAGCATAATTTTTGTTATTTAAAATCTTTCCAAATTATTTTATATTGAAATTCAACAACATGATGAAAATATTTTAACATCTATGCTTAAAATTTTATAAAGACATTTAGACTACCAAAGTTAATTTTAAAAAAAAAGGTCTAAGAAAAATATTAACAATTTAAATGCATTATCATCAATCAGACAATATTAAGATTTTATTTATATTATTTAAAATAAATAAGTTGATGTTCTACGTCAGTTCTATCAATATATTTTATTTTTTCAATTAACTGAAGGATAAGAAATTATTTCAACAGAAAATGGATATAATAATGGTCAATCCCAAAAATGTAGTAAAACTAGAAAATGTGGAAAGAATGTCATTTATCAGGTTAATTAAATAAAGATTTGCAAAATCACATAAGAATGATGTACAAAGAAAGACAATGAAGATAATATGCTTTTGTGTTTTTATTTATAAAAAAAACGATGATTTATTTTTAATAAAATTAATAAATATTTTTCAACAATAAATGAAAAAGAGAAAAAGTGTCAATTCATATTTCAATACTAAAAATTTTGAATATTTTATAAAAGTATAAAAATAACTATAGTTCTAATATTCTGCACAATATTTGCTATTTCTTAATAATGAGTTTCATCAAGTAACATCTCAAACTAGATAATTTAAATTTAACAAAACAAAAATCTTAAATTTCAGCACAACTATTTAGTTTGATGATAACATTTGAATAATGTTGAAAACATCAGCAATTAAAAATAATTGTACTGTAATTTAAAGGTTTTGTTGTCAGATAATAAGTTACTTGAGTGTTCTTTAGTTTTCTCAACTAATGAGGTTTTGAATGACAATAACCAAAGAAAACAGGATTTTTTTCTGAAAATAAAATATTATGGAATTATTTCTTTTTTTCCACTAAATGATTCAATTACAAGAAGTTCTAGAACAAACTCTTCAAAAACCAAAATTTATAGTTTATTTATAAAATAGAAACTAAATTTTATAATTATATTATTTTTCTTATTTTACAAAATAAATTTTATATCAATCAATAAAATTATTTGACATTTACATTCTATAAAAATTTTTAAATATTAAATGTAAAAAATTTGTTTTTTTTTATGTAAATAAAAATGAGTTAATTATTCTTGCACAAGTCACATGGTTTTGTTTAGAGAGATCACTGATTATTAAGTGCATTATTATTATTATTATTATTATTTTATTTTTTTTATTTTAAATATGATTTAGCAAATTATTCAAATATATAAGAAATAAATTTTTAAAAAAAACCTATGTTCAATGTTATACAGGCACAACTCTGGAACTCTTAATTACAACAGTATCAACTGGATGGTCTTCAGAATCTGTTTTTACATTTTCTATTTTGTGAACAATGTCCATTCCTCCCAAAACTTTACCAAAAATAACATGATGACCATCTAACCAATTAGTATTGACAGTTGTAATGAAAAATTGGCATCCATTAGTGTTCTTTCCTATAAAAAAATATTTTAATAAATTCAATAAATAAAATCAAACAAATAAATATACTTTATTTTCTCAATATTTCTATTAACCATAAGATATGATGACTAAAAACAAAAAATGAATACTATAGAAGCAAATTTCAAATTTTATTTAAAAAAAAATTAAAAACATAGTATATGAATTATAATAAAAAATAATTATATACTATAATTTTCTGATTAAATAATCAATTGAAATAAAAATATAATAAAAAACAACTAACAAAAGATAATTAAAATGTCTTTAAAATGATTAAATTATGAATAATTTTGTAATTCAAAACCTTACTTTAAAATGAAACAAAAAAATAAATATATTTTAATTAAAATATTAACTGTTTTTTAACAATCTACATCATATAACACATTTACCAATAGCTTTTAGATTACATATAATGTAATGCCAAAAATGAAGTTAATAAATACATAGTTTAATAGCAATAATTAGTTTTATATTAAAATACTATATCATATATACTCAAGTAATAGTTAATCCCACGTAAAAGTTGACCCCCTATTTTTGGCCAAAAAATCTGGAATTTTTAATAATCCCGTGTAAAAGTTGACCCTAGCATTTTACAGACTATAGGTCAACATTTTCCAGAATTGTTTTCATTGAGAACAAACATGAAAAATATAAAAATTCATGTAATTCTATTTTCATTTTTTTAAAAATATGTTATGGAAAATGGACTACTTTTTTCTGCAACTTTTACTCTCAAACCTGAAATATGGAAGTTGATTAGAATTTAAATCTACTTTTAAAGTCATACTTTGAGCCCCTTGGCATGATAAATTACTACATTGTGCTTCCTAGCTGAAATAATACCATGTGTTATTAAAAAACAAATAGCTGCATCTTGTAAAGAAATCAATTGATTATTTTATTTTCATGTAGACAAAAAAAATTTTTAAATTTGCTTTCCTATAGAAAAACAGGCCTCAACTTAGGGAGCCTTTTTTCTATAAAAGTGCCAAATGGGTAATATTACTGTAATTCATTGTTTTTTTGTTTTTATTCATTTAGAGATCAGTTGGGCTATTCTACTGATTTGGTATTTTGGATCTTAGCTTGATTTTCAGCCCCTCAATAGTAGTATCCATGTAATAGTTGATCCCATAAATTTGATCTTAAAAAATGGTCTAAAAAAAATTCAACTTTTACATGAGTATATACAGTATTTAAAACTTTCACACAGTTTATTGCCTTATTTTAAATAAAAAATATGTTTCAACAACAGATTAGAAATGATTAAATTACCTATACTCAAAAATATACATATCTACTATTGAATGTTTTTCTGTGGTAAGAATTTATTTCAATTTATATTCAAAAACAAATTACTTAAACTTTTCAATATATTTGTATACATTTCAGAAATAAAGACAACTTGTGTGTGACATACTTTAGGATGTAAACAGTTTCCGACCAGGCATCATGGGATCCCTCCCACTCTTTCCTTCTCACCTGGCCTTCCCCCTCTTCCCTCTCCTTTACCTTTATTCCCCCATCTATCCTTGGCTATAGCAGTGGATAAGGCTGCCTCTCTTTATCTAGTAGCTAGTATAACAACAAGTATTTTTTATTAAAAACTCTACATTTATTTCAGCTAATAAAAGTTATTAAAATTTTTTTCCCATATCTTACTAGACAACAATTTAATTTGGAAGAATATGACAGAATTTCATATGATGATAGTAAATTAAAATAAAACCAACTAATACCAGAAAGTATATATTTAGGAAGATAACTGCATATAAAAAAAAATAAAAACATTTCTCTAGTCTTAAATTTATAATACATGTGACACTGAAATAATTTTGAAAAGAGCAATAGACATTTTTGTTTTGAAAAAGAGATACTATGTTGCAATCAATAGCAATGTTTGGGATAAGCAATAAAGGCAATTTTCTAAGGCACCAAATCACTGGATATTTTTTCCTCCAAGATAGTGCATATGATAAACATTTTTCAAGAAAAAATTTAGTAGTTAATAACATGGTAATCTATGAATGAAGTTCCTTCATTAGTATTGTCCTCCTTTGCTCATGTTATGCATTTTCCTAGCAATCTTTTCATTGAATTAGTGTCTTTGAGAACTTCATTCACCTTTTACATTATTTTCTCATTATAATGAATTTAAGGGAATGACAAAATTAATGTTTTCTTAAATAATTAAAATAAAAATAAACTTATTTATTTATTTAAACATACTGGGCAGAACACATGATGCATGTCTTAAGTTAATACAATTTATTTATAAACAACTTTGATGTGTCAATTGTAATTTCTGTGCAGAATAAAACAGATAAAACTAATTTTATGCTAGTGCATCAAATAATAAACACTCATTCCAAGTTCATTTTCCATCATTCAGATGGAAAATGAACTTGGAAAAGTAAACAATTGTTTACTTTAACAGACGAGAAAAATGTAAACAAGTAAAAAAATTAATTTATTTTATATTGGATTAAATTTTGGGGGGGCAAACATTATAATTTTTAAATATTCTGTCAACAACAGTGCACCCAGACAAAGTCACAAGTTAAAATATAAAAAGCTTTGCATTTAAATTTATTATGTTTTTGTTTAAAAGTAATTTATAAAAATATTATTGCCAATTTGTGTGTAGCTCTCAGAATTTTATTAACAATACCAATTACCATTGTTTTTTTTAGTATAATTTCAGTAAATTAAAAGTAATAAAAACATATCTGAAGACCAGCTTGTCTTCAATAAAAATTTCAATAATTTAGCTTATTGCCAACAGAAAACAAGCCAAATCTTAAAATATCAGGAAATATAAGATGTTTTGTTGATATGAAAATGAGTAAGAAAAACTTTATTCAAGTTTTCAAAATGGCTATTAAAATTGTCTTTGCTTTTATTCTTTATTATAATAATTGGTACAGTATATTAAAAAAAAAAGAGTTTAAAAAAAGATTTATCATTTTTTGTATTACTCATTGATTTCAGGATTCAGGACTGATAATCTAGTTAGCCTGAAAAGTTTTGTCTACTATTGTATGTTGAGAAAGACATTATAAAGATTACACTTAAACTGTTTAAAATGACAATTAGAATCTCTCTAAGTAAATAATTATCAGGTAACCAAAAAAGTTTATAGATTTTTATATTTTTGATATTATAAAAACCCTAAACTTTTTTGGTTACCTAATATTTAATTTTAAGAAATAATTAATTTTAGATATGGTATTTTAAATTTTCGGAGTAGTTGCAAACTCAATAAAATTTGTTATAATAGTAATAAAGCAATAGATATTACTGTAATTGTAATAAAGCAATAGATATTACTGTAATTGTGTTAAACATTAAATTTATTTATAACTTATTAAGCAACATTTATAATCAGTATTATAACAACAAATATTGCTGTGGCTTTAAGATTGACAATTTTCTACAGTTTTACATGTTGTGAAAAATCAAAGACATTCTGCATTGAATAAAATTATAAATTATAATATTATAAATTTGGCATAATTCATTCAGGATTTAGGTCTGTAGTCAAAATTCATTCTGAAACTGAAGAGCTTTTCTGTTTATATAATAATTAAAGATTAATTAATTAGAATCTTTTTATCTTCTGTATTTCAAGATAATGCTGGTCAAATTTGAGAACTTAATGAAAAAAAACTGAAAGTAATCTCTTACCAGAATTTGCCATACTTATGACACCAGGATCATGTTTCAAATCTAAATATTCATCATCAAAATATTTAGTTCCAAAGATACTAGTAGATCCACTACCATCTCTGTTGATAATATCACCACCTAAAATTTTTAGAAAAAATTAATATTTGATATTTAAAATTATTTCCTTTTATTATTAAGATGAAATATTATAATAAGTTAATGATTATAATTATTCAAAAATTTCAATTTACCTTGGATCATAAAATCTTTAATTACTCTATGAAAAGTAGATCCTTCATATTTCATTCCATTATAACCTTCTCCAGCAAAAGCTAAGAAATTTTTTACTGTTTTAGGAACTATTTCACCATATAGCCCAAGAACAATTGTTCCAGCATCTTTACCACCAATAGTTATATCAAATTCTACTTTATCTGTAACAACAGGAACTTTTTCCTGGAAAAAAAATTTTTTTCAATAATAATAAAATGAAAAAAAAAGTTATAAATTCCAATTATATATAGAAAATTTTAGTTAGTTTATGTAAAGAACATGCTTTTTTATATAAACTATAATTGTCAATTATGTACTGTGCACATAACTAGAAGCAGTCCAATTATGTTAAGTGTACAGTTTTGAGCCACTTTTGAACCCTTCCTTCCTTTTTGTGTTACAATGATGTACTTTTGGAAAACCCCTTCTGTTTAATTACATATACAATACTTCACGGACCTCCCAACATTGAAGAAGTGACAAAATATTTGCAGAAATTTTTAAACTGAATTTATTCACATGACTAGTAAGCAAGCTTATAAGAACAAATACATATGTCACTAACCCCACTAAAAAAATTCCATGTAGACAATGCTTTGATCTCTCCCATTGTGAACAAAGATTACTGACATACAATTAAGGGAGTTCACAAAAAGTACTTGTATTGAACCATCCATTAATTACACAGTTTAATCAAAACTCTTACACTTTTAATTAAAAGACATCAACTTGAAAATAAGAGTAAAATATTCCAATGAATGATTTATTTCCAGGATGATTTTTACATATATCAAGTTATAACTTATGATATTAAAATGGATATTAATTTTCCTTCTAATTATACTAAATTAAAACTAAATATTAAAATAAAATATATTAAAACTAATTTTGAATTAAAATTTTAATGGTTTGCATAAAGAAGAAATTTAAATTATCAATTAAATACAGAAAAATTATTAATATAAAACAAATATTAAAAAATATTTTAAAAACTTATAACAAAATTATTTGATTTATTCTTAAATCAAACCCTTTCGGTATTTCATGTTAATTTGAAAAATATTAAAAATATATTTTAATAGCCATAACTTTACTCAGAAGTTTCTAATGTTGAAAATAGCTTCAATTTAAACATGCTTACATAATTAATATCAACAGAATTGAAGGTAAAGTTTAAATGGCTTCTTTCTAAACATCAGCAATTCTTTATTAAATCAACTGACACAAAAGCCTAAATACCAGCAAAATTTCACTTACTTCTAGGCTCTTTTTTGTGTCAGTTGATTTAGTACATTTTAACAAGCATTTAGCTGTTATCTATTCTTTATTAATTAAGCCTTTTTGGATTGTTAACCAACCAGCATCAAAATCAATTAGTGATGTATATACAGTATTATAGAGGATATTTAAAAAGTAAATGAAACCAATCTCAGAACTATAAGCAAACTGAAGGAAAGCGTTTTGCAGAAACATTGAAGCTATCAACTATGGTATTTTATGTAAGTCTGAACATATATGTGGCTGTCTGCCATATTTTTTTTTTTGTATATAATTGTATATAGTTTAAGAGCTCCATTTTTTTTTCCTAAATTTCTTCTCACTTCTGCTTTATGCCTTTCCTGTCACATGGCATAGTCCTTACCTTTGGTGGGTCCTGATTAGCAACAAAAAGAAAAGTGTGAATAATGGGTCCCACACAAGAGAGCCCATATGAGAGAGCATGTGAGGGTCAGTGAGATTTTGGGTTGCTGAAGAGTGTAGATGTGGGATCATAATTGAGGCATAATCTTGATTAAGGTCTATGAGTAGTAGTATGAGCAACGGCCTGAACAGGACTATAACAAGAAGTTACGAGTTAGTAAAATACTGGAACCAGTAAGAAAAATCAGACTTTCTCCAAGTGCGAAGTGTACTGAGTTTGTGATCACGTGTAAGGGAACACGTACAGTGTTGAAATCCAGCTACTAGATTAATAAGGATGGATAAATGAATGAAAGAACTTTTCTCCACGTGCAAAGAGCCTTCTCATAACATCAATTCCAAGACAGATACCATATACTCGTCTATGATAATAGATTGGATGAATCTAACTGACCACCTTGAAATTGAGCATAGCATCAACAGTTGCCTAACAATCTACATCTAAAATACTGGTACCTTCCCGTTCTGATCCTTATTCTTTTCATTCTTCTCTTCTCAATCTTAGTTTGTAATTAGTTATAGTTTAGTTTTTAGTACATCCACATTTACCATTTTGTCAGAAGAAACTGAATAATGAGTGAAGAGTGGCTGTAACTACATTTTGTACTTTCCAACAAGCAGGAATCTGTAATCTGCCCCCCTCAAAATTTGTATAATAAATGCATATTGACTTTTTTTTTGGTCTAGTCTCCTTGTTGTGCATATCATACCTTTCGCACATACACAATGATTTTCCATAACAAAGGTCAATAAATGCAATAAATGCACAAGAACACTAATTTTATCATCTTACAAGTTTCTATACATTCAAATAATGTTAAAATAAAATTTCTACCAAGTGTCCTTTGCCTAAATTTATTTGTATCATCTTCAGTGAGTGGGGCCAATTTGATGTGGGACACCCTGTATAATTTGATAGACTACAAGTATTTGATTCTGATTCTGGACAGTTAACCATGCAGAAGTTGTACTAGTAGAAATAAATAAGTCATTTGCACTTTTTAATAAAAATATTTTAATTTTTTTTTACAATTACTGCTCAGCATTAATGAAATGATTATCTCTTTATGAATTATAAGAATTTAATACTTTTGACAACATTTTTCATAAACTGCTTGTTTCAGAAAGCAACATTTATCAAACACAAAAAGACCATCTTCAGCTTAAAATCTTGCATTTATCACCTTAGAATAATATGGCATGGGGTGTATTCTATGCTACATTGTTGTATATATATATTCTAAACTTTTAAATTGTAGGCTGAAGACAATCATATATTGACCAAAAATATTTCTTTTGTTTAATAAATGTTGGCTTACTAAAGCAAGCAATGGCTTCTTTATTTACAAAGATGGTACAAAGTTTTGTAACTTCTTATGATAACATTTTTTTATAATTATTACAAAACTCTCAAAATTATTTGAATTTAATGTATAAAAAAATATATACACACTAATTTTATGTTATTTTATAAATGCTGTGATTCTGCAATCTAAATACATAAAATTACTTGCCCTGACTGACTGACTCATCATCACCCAGAGCAAACCGCTGAACCCAAAGATGCGAAATTTTATACACAGTTAGGGTACGTCATGAAAACGCGCACTAAGAAGGAATTTTTTGAAATTCCCCCATGGGGGAGAGGGAAAGGATTAAGGCTTAACCTGAAGAATGGCTTCTACTGTATTATTTTACATGCAATTTTTTGTTTTTAACTATGTTTAGTCTTCATTGAGTACTTAGGTATATTATATTGATAACATTTCAGACACTGTTATAAATATTTTTATACATTTCGATTTTTTAACCAAATGTTCGAACGGTTTTAAATTTGAATTTGTTATTGCATATTGGTTTGATTATAGAATGATTGTAAACGTTCCAGAAAATTGATAAAATTGAAAATAGTTTGTTTGATTCTCAGCAATTTTCATCATTCTCAGCAGTAGGTGTTATATAACAATTACTATGGTTGTTGAAATACTGAATATAAATGAGGTTTGCTTGCAAAACCCCCACGGGCAAAGTCGCAGGTAACAGCTAGTTATATATAAAAACATTATGAAGTTTTTAATTTTATACTTTTATGTAGGTATCAGTGGCAGCTTGTAAGCCTTGTGGAACTGCAATACTACCAAAAAAAAGTAAAATTACAAAATGTGTATATTTTTATTGCATAGTAATTATATAAATTAGCATATATAATTAAAATTAATTTTATCATCAAAACCAGCACTGATAGTATACAAAATAAAATGATTCTATTCTAGGCTCATTTTATTACAAGCTACACACTCCTCTGACATCACTATTAAACAGTGCAGTACCATTTCCCATTCAGAAAAAGTTCCATTTGTTTGACCCCCACATCTTGCAATATGCTCATGATGAAATGCTTGAGATTGCAACAGCACTGTTAAATAGAGCAATGCTAACAGTGTGGCCAGATGGCAGAAATTTATTTATCATCAGGCCTGTGGAATCGTGTAAAAATCTACCGACTCCAACTTTTCCTTATCATCCGACTCCGACTAAAACACCAAAACCCCAAGACTCCAACTCAACAGCCCTGCCAGGGCTGTGGAGTTGCGTAAAAATCTACCGACTCCAACTCCGACTTTTCCTTATCATCCGACTCCGGCTAAAACACCAAAACTCCACAACTCCGACTCCACAGCCCTGTTTATCATATACACCTAAAAGATCTAGATATAGTCAAATATAGAAATTGTTTATACTTCTATACAGGATATTAACACCCACAATGGAATACTTACTCAAATTCCTGTGTTGAATAGATATGATAGATAGTCCCTGAAAATCAGGGGCACCTGGTCACCTTGTTTCCACATTTGCTTGTTTTCAATGTTTGATTATAGACTCAATATTTAAATAAAACAATTTTATTAATACTGTATATTAATATGTCATCATCAATTTATAGATGAATGAGTAAATAAATTTTAATAAATAGCTAAAGTTCAATCAGTTTTAGACCCATTTTCACTGATTCTTAAATATGTCCTGGTTTGAATAGTAAAATGCCTATTTTAAGAACAGGAGTCAGTAACCTCTATATGTTGGCAGCATATTCAAGTTGTAACTTTAAACTGCAGATTGTATAGAAAAAAAAATGACAAATTGTACTTAACTGTTTATTGTTCAATAGTATGCAAATAGAAATTTTTTTTTAAATTTAATTTTCAATAATCAGGTGAAAAAATTCAATTTTAAAAATAGACAGGATGAGGATTAATTATTTTATCACTTTATAAAATGCAAACCAAATTTCCATTAATAAGTTAAATATAGATCATAATAATATAGGCAATTGCTTTGCTTCTAATCCTTTCTCAACTTCATTGTGGATAATGTATAAGTGCAGTAGGTAAATTGAAGCTGATTATAATTTAATAGAGTATTGGCAATTTAGCTGGATTAAATTAGTAATAAAAATTCATTGATTTATCAATCAAGAA